TAAGTAAAAGGGACAATATTTGATTAACCACCTCCCTTTTTGCAGTTTTAATTTCCTGTTAGCTTCCATAAATGTGCCCTCATTAAGAACTGCTTTACTCTTAACTTTTCACTGGTGGGTTTTTTTTTGTTTTTTTGTTTTTTTTGCACCATGTTATTTATTTAAGAAAAAGGCAAAATGCAATGATTATTTGTTGCCAGTAAGGTGCAAATAAACACGAGAAAGGACCAGCCTACACTTCTTGTTTTTTCCTCCAAACCTCCATTTCTCTAATGTTACACTTTAGGTGGCCTCACTTGCACAACTGAGTGGTTGCGCAAGGCAGCAGCTGAAATATCAACCTCTGATCTGCTACCCTCCTCATCCACCTCTGAGACCAAAGGATCATCTGTTCCACCCTCCTCTCCGGCTGCTAGAGAAGTGTTTTCTGTCCATAGTCCCACAGCTGTGCTAAACCAAGCATACATGGACTTGCTGCATTGGGAGCCTGGAAGAGAATATCCTGAGGTAAAAGGCACCTTATGAGTCAGAAATAATAGCCATGCTAATTCATTTTCAGAAACAGGGGTCTTAAGATAACACTGTAAGTCCACATTGCGGCACACTAGTTGGCTACAAGTTAGGCAGCAAAACACAGAAATGCAATGACCCATTTTCTGTCTGTTCGTTCCCCGCACAACAATCCACAGCCTTCAGTAGCAGGGGATGTACCAGTTTAGCTTGAGCATATTTCCTTTTACTCCAGTGGCATAAGATTCATTTCAAGTGCTAAAGAAATCTGCATAGTAACCCAATGGTTTATACTGTTATTTCTTTGCAGACTATGTTGATGGACAAAGCCCGCTTGGATGCCCTTCAGATGAAAGTGAATCAGCTAGCCATTATTGCTGCAGTCCTACTAGTGAGCAGCAGTACATGTGGAAGTGGAGTGTTCAGCTCACCAGGATGTGGAGATAGGCTAAAACGGGTAATAAAAGCCCTTCTGGAAGGACTTCCTGACACAAGGTAATGTTTTTATATTATTGGTGTTGAAGGCAGGAGAGATACTCACCCAAGCCCAGCCTCATGTAGGCTGCTTGTGGGCACCTAGAAAATCCAGAGTTAATCTAATGCCTCTTCATGCTATTTTTGAACAGGCAGTGAGAACCTTTGTCAGTCCTTTTGATGAAGGTTGTCTCCTATTCTTATTCATGGAGAAAGCATGCCCACTTCACTTGAGGCATAAATAAATTGTATGTTGTAACTATAATATAGCAGAGAGAAAAAGGCAGAGGAGTGAACAGGAGTTCAGTATAAGCCAAACTAGGGGCACAACTGCTCATATAGCTTCTCTGTCAAGGGGGGGGGGGTGAGAGGAGGTTACTTCATAAATATTGCAGGCTAGTTGTTGCCTACTTCAGGCAAGGTTTGTTTTTTAAGACTTAATTCTATAGGATTACAACAGGTTGACCACTTCTCTGCTATCATGCATATATAAAGTTCAATTTCAAAGAGCTGTCAGATTAACATGGCCCGATCTCTGTGTGGCTTAGGTTAGAAGATGTTTTAATGGATATCAGCAATCAAATGCATGAGGAAGTTAATAGCATTCTCCTGCAGTTGGGGTATCCTGTTCTCAGCACTGACAAGGCTGCTTCACTTAAAGGCCAACTCACGAGTCTTGCAGAGAAGGACAATGCAGTACGGATTCTAATTGGTGAGTCATGAGTTTTTGCATATTTTTAATGTAATATCACACTTGAGTATGAAAAGGCAGAGTGTGTATTGCATTACCATATTTTAACTGCAATTTTTTGTTATAGTGCATTTCATATATTGTTGTGTTTTACCCTGGAATCACCTGTGACAATATATACGTTAGTATCATATAATATACTACATGGCTCCACTGCATTCTCATTGTGTTGTCCAGCAGTTATTCTAGGTGGTACAGGGCTTTTTACAGTCTGCCCCAAAGGAGGTGAAAGAACCATTGGTAGCTCACTGTGACTTGTTTGCAAATTATTTTGAGGATAAAATCGCTTGCATCCACTGGGACCTTAACTGTGGCAAATGAAAGTTTTCCAGAGCACTGTCTAGTCTTGTTATGTTGGATGCTTCACTTAAGACTCGAGGATGTGCACAAGGTGCTTGGATCGCTCAGGGTGGCCAGTTGCACGCTGAACCCTTGCCCCTCTTGGCTGATAAAAACTAGCAGGGGGGACAGTTGGCTTGGTCTGGGAGGTGATAAATGCCTCCTTGTGAAAGGGGGTGGCCCTGCCTGCTTGAAGGAAGTAGTGCTACCCCTCAAGAAACTTTCCCCGGATTTGGAAAATCTAATTACTGGCCAATAGCCCCTTCTTTAGCAGAGTTTTTGAGTGGGTGGTTGCAGACCATATCCAGGCACTTTCAGAGGAAACTGATTTTCTAGATCCATTTCAATTGAGGTTTAGGTCCAGTTTTGGCACGGAAACAGCTTTGGTCGCCCTGTATGATGATCTCTGTTAAGTGAAAGACCGGGAAATGTTGATTATCCTTGAGATACTATTGACCTTGGTATTATTCTGAAACGGCAGTCTGAGATAGGGGTGGGTGGCACTGCTTTTCAGTGTTTCTGGTCCTGCTTGGATAGTTGTTTCCAGAGGGTAATGCTTGTGGAGTGGTCTTCAGCCCCATGGAGCCTTCACTGCTGGGTTCCTTAGGGTTCGATTATATCCCCCATGCTGTTTAACATTTGCATGAAATTGCTGTGTGGGAGTCATCCGTAGTTTTGGAGTATGTTGTCAGTGATGTGCTGATGACACACAGCTCTACTTCTCTACATCTGCAGGTGTCGCTGTGGATTTGCTGGCCTGTTGTCTCAGTAATGGACTGGATGAGAGCCAATATACTGATGCTCAATCCAGATAAGATTAAGGCACTATTATTGGCTGGTTCCCTAGATTGGTGGCCTGCTTGATGGGGTTACACTCTCTCTGAAGGAGTGGGTACACAGCTTGGAGGTACTTCTGGATCCATTGCTGTTGCTTGAGGCTCAGGTGGCCTTGGTGGTGCGAAGTGCCTTCCATCAGCTTTGGCTGGTAGCCCAGCTGCTCCCCTATCTGAACACAGATAGCCTCTTTTGTAGTCTGTTGCTCTGGTAACCTCTAGGTTAGATTACTGCAAAGCATTATACATTGGGCTGCCTCTGAAGATGGTTTGGAAACTTCAGCTGTTGCAGAATTTGGTGATCAGGTTGTTCACCAGGCAGGGCAGTCTGAGCAGTTTAACTCCAATCCTGACCTGACAGCACTGTCTGCAGGGCTGTCGTAAGCATATGTGGTGCCAGGGTGCAAAGATCTGCCCGGCGCCCCCCCAAGTTGTCCAGTCCCAGGTGCGCAGGAGGGCAGAGCTGGCCGGCCGCCTCAGCATCTCGCTGGCTCAGTTGCCCCTGAACTCGTGGCGCAGAGCTGCCCACAGCAGAAGAGCACGTCACGGCTCTCCGACGGATGGACTCTTCCCCAGACTCAACTCTCAGGCCCTGGACTCTCGACCTGGCGCCCCTGAGAGCCCGGGTGCCCCGCACCCCTAGCGCCTATGGGCAAGACAGCCCTGCCTGCCACTTGGTTTCCAGGTCCAATTCGAAGTGCTGTTTTTGACCTATAAAATCTTAAACGGCTCAGGATCACAATATCTCAAGGACCCCTCTCCGCAACCTGACCCTTGCAATGATAATTTTAGCCCCTTTTTTGAGTGCCCCCTCCACGAGAGGCCTGGAGGGTGGCAACACAAGAATGGGCCTTTTCTGTGGTGACTCCGTTTGTGGAACACCCTTCCTTGGGAGGCTTGCCTGGCATCTTCATTACTTATCTTCAGGCACCAGCTGAAAATGCTTTTCTATAACCAGGCCTTTCATTGATTGAACATTCTATGGCCTTTTAAATGTGTTTGTGGGAGGGGTTTAATGGTGTGTTTTTAGTCTTGTTATGTATTTTGTGTTCTCATTTTGTATTTTTATGTTGAACGGGCTTGTGATATTTGATTAAGGGTGGTGTCCAAATTTAATAAATAATAATCACATCACAATCACATACTGGCATTAATGATACACCTCATGTAAAATTGCATACAAGAGGCCATTTACATGCCATTGTGATTAAATGAATACTGCAGTCACAATGAATATCTTAATTGCATATCAACAACATCTGTATATTGATTTTGTACACCACCACCCACTTGTTTCTATGAAAAGTTCTATTCCTGTCCTTTCACCCTTTATTATCCTATCTGCCTTGTGATTTTTCAGTTAACTAGGGAGCCCTAACATGAATAAGTTACAGGAATCAGGTCTTTTTCTAAATCTGTTTTAATTCCTACAGAGCAATGGATCCAAACTTATCTTAGGCTTTGTTTGTATCCTGGTGGCCAGAACGCTAAGAATCTACCCCAAGGCCTTGCTCCTATTCAAGAAGAATTACTGGAAGTGGGCCAGAGGTTTGGCAGTTTGATTCATCACAACAGACAGGTGTTTGGTCCCTACTACTCAGGGATACTGAAGAAACTGCTGCTTCCAGAGCGAAAATCTGAAGCAGGGTCAGATTCCCATTAACAATCTAAAACAAGCAGCACACACAATGGCAGGGAGAGGGGGAGAAAAAAACTGGCAATTGTTCAGACTGTGCTTTGGCTCAAAGTCCACTGCAATCAAGTGAGCAGCTGTCCTGCTCTGTGCTGTGATACCTAAAGCACTCATACAGCTGGACTATTGAAGCTGTGGAATACAGTTACATAAATACCAACTGACAATGCCAAGTTTGCCGCAGTAAACCTTTAAACAGCTCAGAATGTTGTCTTGTGTTTTTAGACTAGCTGGTGCATTTTCCATCAAATGGGAAGGGCAAAACTAGGGACTGGATCTTGTAGCCGTTAATGTAGAAGGTAATTCATTTCGGTGAAACTAGATATACAAGCATATCCAGGATTAAGCCTTGTTAATAAACAATACAGACCAGTATACCACATCAACCCATACAGAGATATGTTGTGTCTAATTTTATTAATTTAGTCTGCTCTAAGTCATACAATTATGAAAAACAAACAACAAAACGACTGCTGGAAGCCCAGGAATATTTACAGTCTCGCCTTGTTGTAGTGAGGTCAGTCTATGTTGTTGCACAGATTGGTTATGTTTGGTACCACAAAAAACTGGACAGATTTAACAATTTTTATATACAGAAAATAAAAAGGAAATAGTTCAAGTATCAAAATACAAAGACAGATTAAATAACATTTTTATTACAAATCAGTCCCACTGCCATACATCACAATTAGCAAAGGAGTGTCTACATTGTAAACCAAACTGCCTGTTACCAAGAATCGACCTGCCCTCTTCAGGTGCAAGCATAGCGAAAATTCCTGCTGCTTGACATTCATACTGATCATGCAAAAGGAGACAATGTAGGAGTGAGGTATCACCCAACTCATTTTAGTTTCACGAGTGTAGAAGTTATTTTAAAAAGTGAGGTACCCTCAGATATCTGGTCTGCAAGAGCAGCACAACTCTTAAACTGCTCTAGAATTTCTTTTATGGGGGGGGGCAGAATTGTTATGTACCTCAGAAATCAAATAAGATTTTCATCTCAAGCTAAGAAAGTCAAAAAGACCAGATCCTATGAGCCAACAATGGCATGTACAAAATAAAAGGATTGCAAGAGTTTGATTTTAATAACGTGATTTCCCATTCAAGAGCTAAGGAGCAGTTCCTTCAGCCACCTTAACATTTATAGTGTTTTCTCCTGGACACAAAAGATAAAAAGAAGTCTACAGAAGACATACATCTTTTTGAAAAGGGAAACATTTGGAGCACTGGGGGGGGGGGGAGGGGAGCATTGATGATGCCGCTTCAGCATAGGTTGGTGCTAGAACAGCAACAGCATTTTCATTGAAGATCTCAAAACGCATTCAGTGCCAGGAATATAGGGCACTTTCTCAGTGTGCTGCAAAATCCCACAGAGAGGCAAGAGTCTCAAATATTGTACTAGTATTCAAAGTGCTCGGAGCACAGGAATAACTAAAATTCATAGGAAAAGTCCAGACCAGAATGGCTTTGATTACCTTCTTATAAAGAATGCCTAAGCAGGAGATACTGTCATAGATATTGCTATGTCCATGTAAACTCTGAGAAAGGAAGCACCTGATCACTGGAAGAAGCAAGTTGGAAGCTTTCGTTCATTTTGTCACCATGTTCTAAGGCTATCCTCTCTATAGCAAAACAGTTCAGTGTGCATTCTCTCACAACAGTTATAAGTACCTCAGTATTTATAACCATCACCAGCATACCGTTCACATATGAATATAAAGGAATGTTAATATTTCCAAAATTCATCCACCAATTATTTCCAAAGCCAGGCCTTTGGGATGATGATTTGGTTTTTTCTCGATACCTTTTCATCTGGAATAAGACTAAATTACATTTTAAAGATACAGAAGTCGAAACAAGCCATTAACAAAATAGCAGGGTACCACAAGCTAACACAGACTTATTTGCACTTCCTCAGATAGGCTATAGAAAGATGTATATGTCACAGCCATAGCCAAAACCAGTGTTCGAGACTGTGATACTCTATGTGAAGCATACAGTCATTCTTGGGTGGAGTAGAACAAGAAACAACTGTTTCAGCATAATGCCCAAAATCTCTCCACATCTTTTTCATATTGTGAAACTGATATACTAAGTATACTTAAATTATGAACTAGTATAAAAAGTGCTAATCAGTGAATTAACTACTTAAAAATCCCAAACCATCAGGGCACAACCACATTTTCAAAAATATGGTACAGGAATGAGATGCATGGAGCTACAGTCCAGTTATTCAATGTATACATAAATGTGTGACAAAATTGTACTTAACCAAAAAAGAAATACTGCCATAATAAGAGTTATTTGCAGTAAAAGCACACTTGTACCAGGCATCAGTTCAGCAATGGTCATGAAGGGTTAAATATTGATAATTTTTATTAAAAACGCCCTGTTTCCCACCTGTTTCACTGCAGCTGTGAAGGGTGTACAGTACCTTCACAGTTGCCAGTACCTTCAAAGTTTAATATTGCAGTGACTTCAGAATCTTTGTCTACTACTTAGCAACCTCAAGTGTATAATGCTTAATATTCTAGCATCCACTCAGCCTATGCTGTAAGACAGGCACATTCACATTTTCTTTTAACAGTTAAGATTCTCCACTTTCGTCAACACAACATGTTATGCTGAAATTGTGGATTTCACAATATTGCTGCATGTACACCACTGTTTTAAATCAGAGCATCAGTCTCTTAACCTCAGATGTTTCATTCTCTTGCTAAAAACACATACTGCTTTTTGTCAGCTTGTAGCTGGAATCTCTTTTCACTCAACTCTGGAAGTCCTTAATGAGCAGCCAAGGACATATCCCAGAGCCGGGTGTTGATCTTCATACATCACGGTTTCTCTGCTTCTTAGTGCTCTGCCCCTTTACTACATTTCCATGGAAGAACGCGGATGTCTGCTGTTCAGCTTGGCAGAAGGCAAACAGAATGGGGACAATATTAATGGAAAGAAATATAGGGAACGAGCTATTCATTCATGTAAAACTACTGAGGGAAGCCTTCAGTTACAGTGATGGAGAAGTTAATGGCCACAGCTTTGTGTGTTTTATAGCCATATGGCGGATGCCCTCTGTTCATAACCAACTGCTCTGATGCTTCTTGGATAGTTTACCATTAAAAGGCACATGTACTATGTTATCTGGTTTTCAGGAGAGAGAAAAATCACCAATAACTCCTGCAACTGACAGAGATTAAAACTATTCATATTAGGGAAATAACTGTTTGCTTTTTGAGAATAAAAGCAAAGCACAGATATATTTATTAACACTCAAATGTGCAGTAGTCTAAAGAGACTAAATTCTTCAACTGCTATAATTGTACCTAGTTACAATTTGGTATAATTTCCTGGACATAATTCCAGGGACGGTGGGCAGATATCTGGCCCTACCTCACCTATCATCAACAACTGTCTCACTGCTGACCCTATTCTCTGAACAGAGAGAGATAAAAAATTGCTTGAGACCTTTGTCTAATATAGTGACTTCTCTACTCTAACAATATCAGAAATAATCTCTGTAGGCCTTAACCTAATTATCAAAAGCTGGTCCTAATCCAACATTTCTTTGCAATCATTGTTTAATGAGCTACGTAAAGTTTGCCATTTGAAGAATGTAATAAGGCAAATACTGCTCACCTGCTTGAAGAAAAATAAATGGCAAATATTTTGATAGTGTCAGTGTGCCTGGAATGTCACATTTAGCAATTTTTAAAGAGATGCTATTTGCATGAAATTTTGACCCCTTTTCTTCTAAAGGGGAACTGTGTTCTGTTACAGCAAAAGCACACCCTTGATTGTCAGTCTTTGTGTACAATTTAGTGACATGTGCCTTTGAAAGTTTCAATTTTAAAAAGAGTTTAGGGGGGGAATCAATTCAAAATTATTATTTATAAGCAGATTGGTTAACCTGAACAGAGAGTGATAATTCCAGGTAATGATTTTTTTTAAAAGGCATCATGTTTAATGAACAGCTGAAAACATCCCTTTTTGGCATTTTCTTAAATATACCAAGCCTAACTCCTAGGAAAAAGGAAAAGCGCTTAATTAGAGCAGACGCACTGCCAAGTAGAACTTTATATTATACCATGCATTCAGATATCCAAGGACAGCAAAGATTGTGAGCAGCATCCATGCTAGGAAATCTGGTGAGCAAGAGGTTTGCAAGCAGTATCACAGTGGTTAGTGTCTTCTGAGACGATAAGTAGAAGAGTGCTACTTGTTGGAAACAGTTTTGTGGCCATGACTCAGTATGGAGGTATAAATCTAAATTGAGACAGCATGTACATATGAGACCAAAGTTGTAGAACAGTCCAAGGTTTAGAATGATAAATAGAAAAGGCCTATGGAGTGTTACTTCACCCCACAAATTCACAGTGTCAAAATGAAGAGAAAGTCAAGAAACACTGGGTGTTTTCTGAAATCCACATATTTGACTCCTACAGGCTTCATTTCTCCCACCTCACAGACATCTAAAACAGGTAGCTCTCTCAGTGAGTTACACTTGTTTCCATTAGGAGTATTCACAGCGTTCAGAAGAGATCAGATACAAAATGCTGTTTAGTCTATGGTATCCTAGTGCTGTTGCCTCTGATGGTGCCACACCTAGTGTCAGCAATGGAAGGAAGGAGGGATTTAGAACAGCAGACAGATCAGACTGCAAAGGCACGGTTAGACTGGATGGATGCAGGATTTGTTTTCAGAAGATAGTAGTCTCATACTTAGTGCTGAGGGTCCTCTTGGAATCCTGCTTGGGCTCTACAACCCAGGACACACTAGCATGGGACTGGGAGTCTTGGTCCACTTCAGATGGCTCGAGCTAGAAAACATTAGAAGGAGAGAGCATATCAGCCAAGCTGCTCATTTTGAAAATGTGAAGGCAAACCTGGATACATTTTTAAAAGCTCTGTACAAAGACAGCTTTGGGAGGCAACCGCCTAGGTCAGATTTTTTAAAAAGTATTTAAAGCAGAGGATGCGCACATGTACAGGTATTTACCACTTAAAATGTTACCATAAAGACTTGGACCACTTTTTCAGATTAAAGAAATAGATACAGCTCATTTTGGAAAAAGAACAAATTAAATTTTGTTTAAGCCCAAATCAATTCTCAATTCAAGGTAGCAGTTTGTTGAAATTCACTAGAAACAGAATGCTTAGTTGGAGTTTAAAGTGTTATATTCAACTATCTAATGTTATGTTTTTATGATCTGATATATTCTCTTAGACAACAGAACTCTTCTCCTTGAATATTAAATTGATTTTAATACAGCAAAACTCGGCAAATGTTGCACTGAAGAAACATTTTATGCTGGTGAGAAGTGTTACAAGCTTGTCCTTGAAATGCCTCTTGTGTAATGTATAGGAAAGCTTGAATGAATTAACCTAGCAAGGTCAAGACAGAAGGGAACATAGACAGAGCAGCAAAACTAAGGGAAAAGAATGAGGGAATCACTGAATGTGAGTTGGTTTGATAACAGAAAAGTTTGTAACGAGAGACATGTGACTGCAAGAATGGTAAAGACCTTAGCTCCTTGACTAACAGATTGCAGCGGCAGATAGGAGGGACGGTGTGTAGTACAGGTGTGACAGTAACAACAGCGACTATCGGGAGGGAGCGGCACCTGAGGAACGGGAGCAAGCAAAACACAGACAAAAGGTAACATTAAAGGAGAGCAACAAGTATAGAGAGCACATGGGCCAGTACTCTGGTCTGTTTATTTCCTTGCTAGATTGACAAGGACTCTTAATAGGAACTGCTGAAAAAAAGAAACTAACTACTCAGTAAATATGTCATTGATTACATGTTTCTGTCAGTCCTACAGAGGAAACTTCAGAAAGAAAGAGAGAAAGCCTGTGTGCACAAGGCACCAGCAAATAGTAGTTCTAAAAGCGGTAAATTCATTTTAGGGTGTCAATATAGCCTGTAGGCTGCCCAAGCAACAATTTTGGAGGGAAAACAACTTTACAGCACAAACAGTCTTGATAGCAAAAATACTGTCCTGCGTCTTCATGGGTTCTCATTTTATTGCATTTCATCATGCACAGTTTTCAGCCAAGCAGTGGTTGCATGTAACATGTTTAACTTAACAGATTTTGGTCTAATATCTATGTTGTCTAGAATTGTTGAGAAATGCCTCACGGCAGGCAGACCTTTGTCATTCAGTGGTATGTAAGCTAGGACTTTATTACTTCAATCAGACACATGAATCCATCTCATGAGATGGTAGTGTGAAAGAGAATCCTTTTCTGTGAAAGTATTTCCCATCCACTACCCATCTCTTTTTTTTCCACTTTCAAACTATCAGCATTGTCAAGACAAAACACAGGATTACCACGCAGGAGGAATGCAAGTTAACTCAGGAAAAAATATGAGCAAACACTCTGATTTACTTCAATGAGCAGTTCTGGTATTTGGCCCTTGTCAAAATAGTGAATATATAATAAAAAGGTAAATCTTTGTATTAGTATACTTTTAAGCCTTTCCAGTAACTTGCAGTTCTTTCTATTGTCTCATTGTTACTTGCTCAGCTAATTAGCTCTTAACTATCTTGCTTACCTGAAAAGGCTCAATGCAGTATTTTTACAGTATTTTTTAAATCAGCTGCGGTGAGGCATCGTGTTAAAAACTAGCATAACTACAGGAAAGAACCAAAGCTCTTTTAACATACGTACTGCTGATTTCCTCATGCTGGCTCGAGGTTTAGGCACCGGTTTTGAAGATTTTGTTTCTATCATTTCAGCTGTCAAAGCACCTGGAGGTTTTGATTTTTGGGCTTGGAGGGCCAGCTGGTAGGCTACTTCAAATGCTTGTCCCAAAGTCAGAATGATTTCATATGTTAGATTCTTGAGAAAAGAAACACAAAGTATAACTTACTTCATAAAGTAATGCCAAGGGTTATGATGCTAGTCTGTTTCTACAAACAAAATAAGTGCTGAGTGCTGTCTGGTATGTTGAAGACCATTTTATATCACAATCCTGTGTGTAAAAATTAGGGAATAAGCCCCATTTTGTATAATGAGGTAGTGATGGCCATTGGGACTGGTAGGGCAGAAGACTGGGAGGCAAACAGTAGGTGGAGCTAGAGCAAGTGACAGTCTAGAGTTGGCTAATTCTAGCTTTGCCCTCATCCTCTCCACCACATGGACTAAAGAGGGGGAAGCTGTGAGCTGAAGCTCCCAACTTCATTTATTTCATATACTTATATACAGCTTAATATGAAAAATATATCTAAATGGTTTACAAAAATATTATACAAGATATAACCAAACAACACCACCACCACCACCACCAGGTAAAACAATAAAATCCCCCTAAAGCAAAATGTAACAGCACACTTGGAAAATATCTCAAGAGTCAGCAGACATGACTCAATAGCCTGGCCACTAAGTACCTGTAAGGTGGATGGAGGATCAGAGATCTACAGTCATCTAGAGCCCACCCAACCCTTCTTTGGAAAGCAAAGCCACTGTGGAAATACCAAGTTTGTCTGAGCAAACAGCTTCTGAGGGGTACCTTTTAAAGTTATCCCTTTGTTCTGTGTGACTTTGGGCTGGCTGACACCAGTCACAGGAAAGAAAGGATTCTGCCATAAGAAGGAATTCTGCCCAGTCAAGACAGGCTACTTCCCTAAGCTTTGTGAGGCTAGTACTGGTATTGCACAACTGCCTTGCTCTCAGGATTTAGGAGCCCCTCTGGATTATTAACTGTGGATTGACCTGGCAATTGAACAGTTTCTGGGAGGCTTAAAACCCAGCACTTTTTGCACAGCTCTCTGAGCAGTGATTAGTGGCAGTTCCAGAACAAAAATACTGGTGAGGGCACATAAAGGGCAAAGTGCGTTTGGGGGTAGTGAATTTGAAAAGTATTTCTACTGTGTAACCAAAAGTAATCAAGGAATGGATGGGAGGTGAGCAATTTGTATGGGAAGACACTCTATTCCCCCAACCCCACTATGTTGCCTATGGCTGCAGTTAATGTCCAGGATTGTAACAAAAAGCAGAAACATACATCAGAATTCTGTGCAACATACATAGCTCTGCCATGAAAATCTTTTTTATCATGCAAGTTCTAAAATCCAAATATAAAACATTTGATATACCTCCAGTATTTACTTCTCATTTCCTACACATTATACCCTATATTTTGTAGAGAAAGCACTGTGGATTTTTAAATGTGTTAGAGTACCAGGACTGCTAGCCATTTCACATTCAGGGCAAAGAAACTCTGGGGGAAAGTCCAGCATATGTTGCTTAAATCCTTGCACCCCATGTTTGCATATATGAATTACCAGCATTCCAAAAGCTTTTTGCTGCAAACCAACTACCTACAGATTATTTTTAGCAAGGCAAAATACAAAGAATCAAGCCATTTATATTCTACATTACTTACTACATCAATGGTACTGAAGACATGGCAGTAGTGGTGGCTAGTTTGCAAGTCCTTTGTGATATAGGCAAATGTACAGAGATCCTCCGGGTCCTGTGCAGCACAAGAGATGTTCCGGATTTCGTGCTCAGCAATAACATTCTGCCAAACGGAAACAAAAAGCTTTTTTTGCTCAGTAACTGAGATTATCTTACAAAAACACTATTCACAATAAAATAACTTTGTATTAAATTTATTTATAACTAAATAACAACTAAGATTTTGGGTTAGAATACCCTGGGTGGTATTCAACTGACTTTTACTCAGAGCAGATCCATTAAAATTAGTGTCTATGACTAACTTCAGTCCATTGTTTTCAGTATGTCTACTCCGAGACATATTCTTTCAGCAACAAAAGCAGCGTCCAAATACAGACAAGCACTATCTGAAAAACTGATACAAGGGAAAAATCAATCTCTACCTAACTTCTCTAGTGGCAATTCTTACAGGATTTACCATGATATTTTGATGTATTTACTGATAAGGAATGGGTAGTTGCATAACAGATTAATTTCCATGATGTCACTGTCATTTGACATTCAAGATTTTAAGTATTAACTACGAGCTTAAGATCGTCCTCACCTTGTTAGATGCATCAATGAATTTCACTCCTTTGTAAGTGATAGATAATATTATAGTTGGGGTCTTCTTCATATGCTCTGTTGATTTCTTTGTAAAAGAAGCATGATTAAAACATTTCTCAGGATGGAGTATACAGGCAAGATTTTTTTAAATCAGGTTTTGAAAGAACTATGCTAGGTTTTTAAAGATGCATTTTCAAGGCAATGAAAATTCAGTGAAGTATATATATAATATATTTACAACAAGGTACAATCAGACTTCATACATCCTAGCAGTAAATACTGCATACCAGCTGAAAACATATCTGCCAAACAAGTTGACTAAAACAAAGCAACAGATAATTGTAGGGCAATTATGAAATTTTGAAGTTTTGTGGTTTGGCTGTTATATCTTGTGCTTGCGGCAATCTCCAAATCTTGAGCTACACAACACAGTTTATTTTTCAAGACTGGCATCAGAAGTTTTGATTTTACACAGTGCACACCTACCCTCATCTTTGCACAGGCATCCTGTGTAGATTCTGTCCCTCGAAGATCTTTGATTAACATGGAACCTAGATACTGTTTGAAACAGGGGAACAGTAGCAGCAACTATTAACACAAATATTTGTACCCCAAAAGATATTCTTGCTTCCAAAAGGAACCAGGCAATCTTATAAACTTCTGCCTGGATAAGGCCAAACTGTACTAAGTAAAAGCTATTGTGTAAGTGGCAGGACCATGCTTTCCAGCAAAGATGGGAAATCTGTTGCCTTCGAATCTTGTTGAATTGCAATTCCCAGTAGCCACAGTCAGCATAGCCAACGGTCAGGGATGATGGAGACTGAAGTCCAACATCTGGAAGATCACAGGTTCCTCATCCATGTTTTACAGGAAGAACCAAGATTATGCACCAGATGAATTAGAATCATAGAACTATAGAGATGGAAGGAACCTCAAGGGTTATCTAGACCAGCAATGCAGAAATTACAGCTTAAAAATCCCCCAACAGATGGCCATCCAACCTCTGTTTAAACCTCCAATGAAGGAGAGTCCATCACCTCCCGAGGTAGTCTGTCCTACTGTTGAACAGCTATTACCATCGAAAACTTCTTCCTAGTGTTTAGTGAGAATCTTCTTTTTTGTAATCTGAATCCATTGGCTTGAGTCCTCCCATCTGGAGCACCAGAAAACAAGCTTGCTCTGTCTTCCATATGACAGCTCTTTAGATATTTGAAGATGGCTATTATATCAACCTTAATTTAATTTGTCTAAGAATCTAGAATATACTTACATTGGCTTCATACCCACAGGATTCAAATATAAGCTTCTCTGGTTGATGCTGCCAGTGTTGGACAGGGGCATAAGCAGCAGCCAGACTAGGGGGTCTGAGCGTAAGTTTAGATTCACGGCGTTCCTCCTGAAAACACAAGAAGCAGTTATAGTCAGAATTTGGTCTGGGATGCCTGCTCCACTGAGCATATTTACCAAGGACTCTGCCCCTGCTCAAGTTGCTTGCCAAGCTCATCTACAACCCTGCCTACCCTTCACCAATTCCCCCACCACCCAGACGCCCCTAACCCAACAGACCAAGGTGGAAAATCTTTTTGGCTCCCACTACCTTTAATGGTAGTAGAAAAGAGGGGGAATCTCATGGACAATGCACTTGTCAATCATAAATCTCTTACAAATAGGATGGAAGCAGAGAAGGGAAACAAAGGCAGCTGGGAGGCCCAAGTGTGATGACAGCCTTAGGGAAATGCATAATAGGATAAATATTTTTAAAACCACTTTTCCACATAGTTCAAAGCCATATATACTTACAAAACTATAATTAAAACAAACAACTATCACTGGAAAAGCACAATATAAGACATAGCATCCATGGAACATTTATGTTCTCATTTAAAAGTGTGAAAAAGGAAGGTTTTACTGGCTTTTTAATAAGATAGCAATGCTGGTGTCTTCCAGAGTTTGGGGACTAGTGCCGAAACAGTCTCTCTGCTATCTTAATCAGTTTTATGAAAGCAGCAGAGAGCAAGGCCAACTGAACTTCATCTGGCGAGTGGGCTCACATGGGCTATTACAAATGTCAAAACAGCATCACACAATACCATCCTTGTGACTAGGGCAGTGTCTGGCTACCTCTAAAAATGTCTTGAACTAGGCAGGCATGTTTCCACTGTACCATACAAGATATAAAGGCAGACAAAGCTTGATAAACGACAAACTGGCTGCTGTATCTCAGCAATTATAATAATGTCAAGACTGGGAACACCCATAACTAGACACCTCTCCCCATGGCAATTGCACAGTGAGAGCCTTAAAAACCAGTACTTTTTGCACAGCTGTCTGAGCAGTGATCAGTGGCAGTTCCAGGATAAAATACTGGTGATCAGCAGCAATGCACTAAATCTGCTTCCATATTGGGGGTGGCAGAGGCAGCAGCCATACTTCACTACTATGGGTCTCCAGTCGGCGAAACTGTGCTACAGCTCCCATGAGATTCCCCCTCTTTTCTACTACCATCATAAAGTAACTTTGAATCTTCCTGCTACATTTCACAGTGCCATTTCCCAACTTGTGGAAACCAAACCAGCTGCAAGGCTTTCATGCCTCCACCCACCAATGTCAGTCATGCCCCTCAGATATCCTCACCAGAGCAGGTAGCCATCTTAGAGCATAACAATCTATTTCTAATTTACCAGAGCCAACCAGTCATTCCCCTCCATGCCCCGCTCAACAACAGCTGTAAGGTTAGAGACTCCTGTTTTACAAGGTAATGGAAGAATTTCTAGAAGAAAAAATAATGGAATACCTGTGCCTTGAGTCTCTCTGTTCTGGGGTATGATGCAATGTCATGGCTGCTCTCATGCCTCTTCTTTCCAGCATCCCCCAAAGGCAGCAGGAGATCTGCAGATCTCCCTGTACAAGAGTCACTCTGGCTTAGGGGTGAAGACGTCTGGGATATCAAATCCTGGCACTGAAATCAGAGTGGTACACATTACAAGAATTAGATTTTCACAGGGTATATTCAGAGCACCTTGCCCACAATAAATAAAAATGCCACTATAAGGCAAGGCTCAGTCTTCCCCCCCCCCTTTTGTTTTAGTATGATCATTAAGGTCAACATAACCAGTAAAAAGGAAGTCTAGTTCATTTATATCCTGCTTTTCCACGATGCACATTACTCAAAAGGGCTCACATTAACTTATTATAAAAATACATAATATTCTAAATGTTACAAAACATATCAATAAATTCAAATGAGACTTAGTTAACATCCATTATGAAGAAAATCGATTTAATTTGGGGCTGTTTACATTGTAGAGACAGAAGTATAAATGTTGCATTTCTATTCTATGACTTGAGGTCCACCTGGAACTGTTCTGAAGCATCTGAGTTCTAAACTTTCAAATGGTTTCTAAAATCCAGAGGCATGTGCTCAATCTCAAACAAAGTTTAATTAAAATGGTGTGAAGAAAGAAAAGCAAGACCCACTGGGGACAGAAATGCTGTAGCCCGCCCCCCATTCTTCCTTAAAAACGATGACTCACTCTTAGCTGAGAGAACCGTGGTGGTTTCTGTGGGGGCTCCTCATATGGTCTGTCTGCCAGAGAGGCTATTATACGCTTACGATGACCAATAAGATTTACCTTAAGTACCTGCAGGGAAAGAGAATATCAGAAAAGCATGCTACAAAAAACTTTCTACATTGTGGCTTCTCAGTATTAACACAGCGCTGCAATCTTTCACCTTGTGAATCACCAGAATTTTCATCTTAACTGGAACTGAATAGGGTTAGCAACTTACATTTACTAGTTCTAGTTCCCAGAGGTTTTTCACAGAGTCTATAGAGCTATAGCCACTCGACAAAAATGATTGAATATAATCCTGCAGCCCCAGGGAGTCAAGCCATACAGGAACAGAAGGCTGAGTCCCATCACAGCCCAGAGATTTCACCTGCAGAAGGAGCAAGACAAAAAAATGTTATAGATGCGTAAGAATCAGGTGTGAACATAGCGCTACGTTGGATACAAACCACAGTAAAAGTCACTTAGCAGTATACAGTGGTACCTCAGTTTTTGAACAGCTTAGTTCATGAACAACTTGGAACCCGAATGCTGCAAAACCAGAAGTAGGTGTTCCGGTTTTCGAACTTTTTTCCAGAAGCCAAACGTGCTCTGTTTTGAGTCCCCACCCCCCACCCCCGTGTTTCCTGTTGCGCTGCTAATTTGTATCCCCCTGTTCCCTGTTGCGCTGCTAATTTGCCCCCCCAACTGTAATTCAAGCCTTCCGTGTCCAATTGCAGTGTTCTAAGGTGATATTTGGTGCTTTTGTTTTTGCTATTTATTTTGCATTTTTTGTTTTGAGGCTTTTTCAGTTAATTTGTTTTTGTGACTATGTGGATCCCAGTTCAGCTACTGATTGATTGACTGATTGTGTGACTGTGAAAATGGATAAAAGCCTACCATCCAAACAATGACTATCATCAGTGCAGGTAAGAAAATTTTTTAATTTTAATTTTTATCATCTACAATACTGTTTTATTTATTTTATAGTACAGTACATTGATTATTGCTTTCATTTTATGGATCAATGGTCTCATTAGATAGTAAAATTCATGTTAAATTGCTGTTTTAGAGGTTGTTTTTAAAAGTCTGGAGCGGATTAATCCATTTTGCATTACTTTCTATGGGAAAGCGCACCTTGGTTTTAAAAAAAGACTTCTGGAACGGATTAAGTCTGAGAACCAAGGTACCACTGTACTTGTTCAGCTGGAAAAATTTTGTGCCAGTGGAACATTGTTGCAAGTGGGTTGCTGGTAACTTTGTTGCACAACAAATTTACACTAGTGCAGCTGTTAAATTGGATTCTTCTGTTGCATGACATTAAAACTTGTCCATCCGCTAGCACAAGAGCCCTTGCATTATTAGACAGAGAATATTGGATACATCCCATTTTCATTTGACTGTGTAACTCCAGTCTGTATTTGGCTGTAGCAACTATACAGTGATTAATAACTATGCAGTTCCCTGTGAGGTAGAAGGATTATCTTCCTGAAGTGGAGGTGAGCCACTAGGGCTAACTACAGAATGCATGAAATCCCAGGGCGGTGCTCCCCCCACAAGCTGTTTTGCGAATATGAGTGGGGAAATTAAGCATGGGAGTAATGGGAGGAGCTTCTTCATTTCCCCCCCCCCCCTCACCTGCTGCTTCTCTGTTCTAATGTGCTTCCTAAAACTGCTTTTAATCCAAAGCACTCACTCTACAGTTGTACTCTGTAGGGAAAAATACATGTATTTGCGTGTAATGTTTAATTATGCCCCACAGTTACTTAAGTGCCTGAGTTGAAGTGAGTTGGCTTGGAAGTGAATTAACTAAAGGTACAGTTGTCAGCAATAGATCAAAATTTTGAATGTCAGTGGCACAGTAACCATTGCAGAGAGAAGTAGAACAAATCCAAGAGGCACTGGTCTAATCTAGCAAATGACTGTTGGTGGAACCAGAAGACTGTTGGTGGAACTAGAACAGTCTTGCATAAGGAGGGACAATGATCAGGAACCTGAAGAGATAAAATCTGTCAAAACTCACTCTTCGAAATGCACTCTTCCACAATGACCAGAGGCTTTCATTGACCCATTGTGGAAAAGAGAGCAAGCTCAATGCACAACACCAGGCAATTAACTGAATTCAACCAGGGGGAAACATGCAGTGTAACAACATGGATCTATGGTTAAAACCTATTGTTATCAGAAATTCAGCTTCTTCTGGAACTTTTAATTGATAGTGCGACCAAAAGCTTTCTGCATGGCAAAGCATAATATAGAACCTCATAATAAGCTTCCTGCTATGGAATTTGCTTCTTAAAAAGCAGACACTATTGAACAAACAAACCACTTTACTTGGCTCTGTAAGAAGCAGGCTGTTTTGGAATGTAAAATTAAAATGTCTATTCTAGGAGGAGCCACTTCACTCACTTTAAAACCTTCCTGTTCCATTGTTTTAAAAAAGACTATGTGAAATTGTAATATATAGAAACACCCTATATTTCCAATAATAGAACCAGACAAGGACATTTAAATATAGAAATATTTTAATTGGCATTCTGGGAGAATGGAGACCCTCCATTGTCTACACAAACAGAGGAAAAACCTGTTGTGAAATCAGGAAGTCTTTAACCTCTCACAAGTCAAATCACTACTTTAATCTTAGTTTTATCACGATTAAACTGAGATTTGTTCACAATGTTTGCACCTGCTTTGGTGATATCTTCTCATTAACTCAGTTTACTTAGAAGCTGCCAAAAACATGTATCTTTCGACACAATTCTGACTCCACTATTTGGACTCATGCTTAATAGGAAAGCAATACTAAGCCCTCTCCTTACAATGTCTATTAATATGACAGAATGCAGTTATTTGCTTCTCCTCCTGTAAAACTATTTGTTCACTCATAATTATGGAATTCAAGGTATTCCAGTACTAAAAATGATGTTTTCATGTGAAAACACAAATTCATTCTAACCTTAGGAAGAGACCGTGCTGCCTGAAGAAGTTTTCTGCGATGCTGTGGGTCACTAATACCAATCTCTCGAAGGTCCTGATCTTCCATGACATTACTGCCCTGTAGGAAGACAAGAGGCAGACGTGAAATAAGGCTCAGCAACAGCACAAAAATGAAGCTCAGCAGCTTTGCATTTCAATAAATACTGTGTTTCATAATTTTTGTTTTTACCAGGTCTTTGATTGTATAGTAAAAATTGTCTTTGTTGTTTCACAACTCTGCATCATGCAAAAACTCCATGTAAATACAGAATTTGGGCACAGACTTCAACACTCTGGGAATCTCAGCTTTGATTTTAAAAACAATGTTTCTAGTTCTTAAAGCAGTGAGGATAGCTTTGCAGATGTAGCGGAGAAACCCCAATGGAACCTCAGCAGCCAAGGTGGAAGGAGCCTACTTTCTAGCACGAGGAACAGGATTTAAGGTATGCATGCTTTCCTTATGTAACAGCAGAATTAAGGAAGCGAATAAATTCGCACAACAGATCATAATTCAGCTTTTCTTGGCATTACCTTTGTACAGAATCAGTATCTGATCACAGCTTCAGTCTTGGCCCAGGTATGAAAATTGAGAGCATCACAAGAGCCCTTAGAATAAAAAATCATGGGTCCTCACTAGCTGCTGCTTGGTTATCATAACACAGTGTAACAAAAGATAGCATCACCAGGGCAAACATTACACAGTTAGAAATCTAAACAACCATGAAAATAACAGGAGTAATCTGGTTATCGTCACAGCAGGTCCTGAGTGCAATCAGTACTCTCATCTGTGATTTCCTAAAACTGGTATTCTAAGGGATACTGCCTATAGCAGTTGAGGCGGAACACAGCTGTCTTGACTATTCTCCATGAAATTCTCTAATCCTTCAAAACCATCCAAGTTGGCGACCTTCACTACATCTTGTGGGAGCGACTATCGAGTTTATCCATGTGGTGTGTAAAGTAGTATTTTCTTCCAACATTCGGCTTCACTAAATGGACCATAAGTTCTAGTAATATGAGAGAGGAAGGAAAAACTTTTCCCTATCCACTTTTCTCCACATCATGCATAACTTTATATGACTCCATAATTTCCCCTGCTTGCCTTTTCTCTAAGTTAAAAAGCAACCTTGCCTCAGGAGAGCTGCTCCAAACCCTTGATCATTTTGACTGCCCTTTTTGAAACTTCAAGCTTTATAGGAGAAGGGGGGAATCTGAAGTCATGGACACTTATCAGCATCGAGTTCTTATTTGTTCCCACTCTCAATGACCCTGGCCCCCAAGGTCTAAGGCAAAGACCAATGGATCCTCCAGCAATGGCTCCCTTGCTACCTTCTGCTGCTCTGCAATCTCACTGCATCCCTGCTTCTTTTCTCTCTGTAGGCTTCCCCCCTTTCACCTCCTTGCCTCTGCATCAAAGGAGCCTTTTTGTTAAGTGCACTGCATACTTCCCAGCTGCTTGGTTCAGGCTATCCAAAGCCTACTTTCACTGCTGGCCCCACTGCATCTCATTCCGTCCAACAAATTTCAGTAGATTGATTTACATGACCTTCCCATTTCATACATGCTCGCTTTCATCAGTCATCCCTTTGATCATAGTTTAACAATCCAGTATACCTGGACGCAGCTTCAGCTGCCTGCCCTTTCCTCGTAGTCAGCTTTGCTAGTGCACTGCACTGGCATGCATGGAAAGCTCGTCTTTGCCTGAATTCCCTTGAGGGCCAGAGAGAGAAAATTGAATTTATTTTAGAGCATGCCAACAATCCAGGGAAGGTCAGTTTCACTGTAATCTATCATGCGTCTCCATGGAGATGGAAGCAACCCAGCCCTCTCTAGAGGAGTGACTTTCATCATTACACTCTTTACAAAGCTCATTATCTCCACATGTGAAGTGTGGAAGAATGAATGAATGAGTACATAGTGCTTAGCAAAGGCAATATTCAACAGCCATTTTACTATACATCTTGTTTTTCTTACTGCTCAGATCCAGCCCAGAACACCCCTTTTATTACTGAAGCGATTATAAAACCAAAGCTACCTTGTAGCTCATTTTTTGCAAATAAGATTAGCTAACCCAGACTACTGTCCAATTGTGCTAGATAGTGCTTATATATACATTCAAAACTAGACACAGTTTCCCACACTATTATATGTGATTCTTTTCTCTATTGTGCTTGTCGTAACTAAAACGTGAGAATGAACAGAGAGCTGAAAAGGTGAGCTAAAGTACATATAAATAGCTAAAAGCATAGAGAAAGGAACAAGTCTTTTTATCTTCACAAAAAGGTGAGCATCCAGTATAATTCTTCCACATACATTTTTTTTAAAAGGTAACATTCAACATGAACTCCCTTTTTGTAAAAGACAATTCCTAGGGTACAACAGTAATTTTTACACATACAGTGAAAGAAGATCTAGATAAAAGCACTAGGATGTCTTATTTCTATATTAAGCGCAGGCATACAACCATTCCTTTTACACGAAGACCCCCACTATCATATGATGGCATAGCAATTTGAAATTCTCATCTTGTGTCAGCTATCAACACATGTAAACAACAACCACTGAGGGGCAAAAATAGGAATTAACTGGTGATCATTAATTCCTAATTATATCCCTCTTCAGTTCTATCAATAAAGGGGAGACTATTAGAAAAACCAACCCTTGTAAAGGCTGCTTACTATAAACAGAAAAAAGAGAGAGAGAGAGAGAGATCCATTTGAGAGTGAATTTGCCATCTGCTGAATGTGCAAGGCCAGACCATTTTCTTCACACATGAAATGACAGCAGTAATTGCACATTGATGTAGGCCATCATGCACTTTGTATGACAGCATAGAGTAAACACAGCACAAGATTCTTCTTTTGCTTGCCTTGTTTGCTGTGGATATTGTTTAATGGAGAATTTTTACATGGCTGTATCCAGAATATTTCTGCAATGCCTTTTCTGTATTTTCATTGAGCTGCATTAGCCATTGAATCTGCAATGATGTCACATATTCTGGTAAAAGGGCAACTGGTATTTTGTCTAAATTGTACTAATTTCCATGGTTAGCTCTTTTGCCGTAAAACAATCCTATGAAATAAAGGGCATTTTGTAATCTTAATACAATAACTTAATTTGCAATGAAAAGCTCAATGTTTGCTCCATTTTGAGTTGGTAAACATTAACATGATGAACAGCAGCTACAGCCATTTTCTAAAACACAAAAGCTGCCTGCATGTTTTGATCTGAAGTATCACCAATTGTACCCATACAACACTCACTTAGTACATCTCACAGGCAAATAAATCCTTCTGAACTTAATGAAATGTCCATTTCAATGGGTGCACATAGTGCCCTTTTCAGTGACTTGTTCATGTTTACACAGGCTGTATACATACTTCAGCAATCCAAGTGCTGCAGTTTGTGGTTTTCTAAAAGCACTTTTGTAGACATTGCTTTGCAGTTGTTCATGGAGGAAGTCTGGTAGCATAGGCTGCACAGGTTCATCATATTGCTTAGTGTATCACACAGACAACACCATGACTAATTTCTCTCTCTCATTTTTTGCAAGGTGTTGTATATTTATGCTCCCTCCCCTTTCAATGGCCACCACACTCCTTAACAAAAACCTTGCCAGTTATTAATGTTTGATGCTTTATTTATTATTATAATGCTAAACATTATTGTTTGACATTTTATTATGTTTTTATGTGTGTTGGAAGCTGCCCAGAGTGGCTGGGGCAACCCAGCCAGATGGGCGGGTATAAATACTAAAATTTGTTGTATCAGAAGTCTGGTAGCACAGGTTGCACAAGCAGAGTAAGTTTTATTGCACTCAGTGCATGCCCATGGGCTTCCTCCCCTTGTACAATGCAGGTAACTTCTTGACTACTTCTCTCAGGGAGAGGATGTGAGGCAGTCTGGGTTGTATCCAGCTCTGAGTGTGACTAGCATTGGATACAACCCTCTGTTTATGTCCAGGGATGTTTACCCCCTTGTACCATGCAGGCAACCTCTACATATCTCTTTTCTTTTGGCAAAGCACTCTTGACCATGCTCAGAGGCTGCCTGTTCTGGTGCCATGCACATAGCTTATAATTACTAATTATAATGAATGTGTTATTGCAAGGCACTCAAGACATGGTCTGCTCAGTTTAATGAAAGAAAGAAAGAAAGAACCCAGGCCTCCAATATATATGCTCCCCGTTAAAACAATTAATTTCATTTGAGTCATTGTGGTTTTTTAAAGGGCAAAGTATAGTGATATTTTGTTAAAGGGCAACACAAAAAATGGACACATCTTGAATTTGTTGAACTGCCAACATAAGCAGTCAGAAAATATATATCTTGGTGAAAAAAGTTTATAGGGATTGCAACATTATGTTGATCCAACCTTTGAGATTTTGATAAACTGGAAGGATTACTTTAAAAATAATAAATGCTATGGTGGAAGCCAGTACCTTTCCAACTGTGCTTGAGTACAGAAGAGAAAGAGTTGATGGCAGCTCTTTCCACCCATCCTTTTAAAGAGTAAAGCAGCAGTGAAACTTCTGTGACTCTCTAAAGACTGAAATATCAACATACTGATACACTGAGAAAAAATATTTTCAAAGCACAATTTGATTGTCTTTGAGGTGGTATGAAACACCAGATGACTCAGATACCTCTCAGGTCAATCTCCACAGAGGTGTCATAAGACCCCAAATGGAGGTCCACAAAGAAAGTGCTTCCAGTTTCCACACAAGACAAGGGGTGCATCAGAATGTGTTCTACTGAAAGGTGCTTTCAAAATACTGAAAAAAAACTATACCAACTATATATGGATGACAATGTTGTACGCTAAGCAAAAACTGCTTACGTGGAAGATAGTGCAGTGCAATCAATCCATATAGTCTTATGCTTATTCCACACGTATGTGCCACTACCAGGCTTGGTGTATGCACATTTATAGGTCGATTACAGAGCAGAAGGCTAAGACATTTACGTCAGGGGTAGTCAACCTTTTTATACCTACTGCCCACTAATCCATCTTTCTTGATGGTAAAATTTTCTTACTGCCCACCAGTGCTCAATGGAAAGAGGATTCAGCTTGTGCCATAGAAACCCCCACCGCCCACCTAGAATCCTGAAACGCCCACTAGTGAGCGATAGGGACCAGGTTGACAACCCCTGATTTAGGTTATCGTTTTTCAAAATACTGCTTTAAATGAGACTTTGTAATGCAGGTCTTGTTGCATTAAAACTACTGTTTTGGCTTACGGTTTCCCTTATACTGTACAATGTTAGCTTTTGCTCCTGTAATCAGTACTGCAGACATTGCTGCTTCTCATCATGAATCTCTGTGCAAGACTTCTCCACATTAAAGCAAAATGAAGCACACCTCTGCACCACCAGCTTGCAGCAGCAATGGGAATTACCCTTTGGCACCGGGGGAAACAGGTGGGTATTTTGAAAGAAGTGCATTGCTGTCTGGATGGATAAGGCAGATACTTCAGAGGCTTTACACTACAGCAGGGGTGGGGAACATGTGACCCTCCTGGTGTACTTTGACTCCAGTACCCACCATCTCTTACCATTAGCCAAGCCGGTTGGGACTAAGGACAACAACATCTGGAGGGCACCAGGTTCCCCAATCCTGGTGTACAGCAAACCTCTCAAACCTTAACATAAAATGTGTGACACCCATTGAGATTATCAATGCCAACAATCAAGGTCTAAGCATTATGATCCATCCAGACTAGTTTTACTTAGACCTCAGAAAGTGACCTCTCTTTTAGCAGTAGCAGCTTTGAGAGCTCCACTTGAATAGGCACTTGCTCTGGGATCAGCAGTGTCTCTGTCCCATACGTTAGCACTTCACTAGTACAGTGGTACCTGACGCTTCAGGTTACAGACTCCGCTAACCCAGAAATAGTACCTCGGGTTAAGAACTTTGCTTCAGGATGAGAACAGAAATTGTGCGGCGGTGGCACAGCTGCAGCGGGAGGCCCCATTAGCTAAAGTGGTGCTTCAGGTTAAGAACAGTTTCAGGTTAAGAACAGACCTCCAGAACGAATTAAGTTCTTAACCCAAGGTACCACTGTATTTTAGGAGCAGAGGCTGCAGTGCAGAAAGGACTCAGGTTCAGGGCACAGTAGGAGAGAAGAATAATTTTCACAATCAAAAATTTGATGGGAGGATTTTTCAGGGCTACTTCTCTCATCATAGATCCAAGAACCATCGAGCAGTATTTAAATATGCACATCTTATGGAGATTCCTCGTTCCCCGAACCATCCCCATATTCATGTATCCTGTGAATCCCCATTCTAAAAGTACTTAACATGCACAGCATAATATTCAGGAAATCATTACAGGCTTATACCTTTGGCCCTGCTGAATTGTGTCCCATCCCCCCTCCCCCCGAGAAATGTCCGTCTTCCTTTGCTGAAAAAGGCCCCCCGCTTCCAACCTAAGCACAGAGCTGGCACTTCCCTAAGGCTGCCTATGAGAATTCCACTCTGCTTTTTAGAGCCCAACATGGCTCTGCGGGACTAAATGGCAAAGACTATTTTAGCTTCTCTGATAAGCAGGCAGAACTGAACACACAGGTAGAAAATCCATAGGGGAGGCAAGAGGCATTTTTATTTAATTGGTTCTGAGAGGAGATGCACATTTAAAAGCAGAGGGAAGTGTTCACTAGGTGGTCCTTCCTTACAAGCTTTTGATAACAAGATGGATTGGAGACAGACAAAACCTAGCAGGAAATCTCTTAATGCAATCATGTGAACCAAAGTAGTACAAAGTGTTATGGGCTGTTCTATCTGGGTGTCTGTTGTTTTAAAAACCTTTGAAGAGACATTACTATTACTCAATCTAAGGGAGTTTTGACACTCCTACTTGACAATGTTATAATGCAATCATGACCTATCATTCAGCTATATTCTGAATAATTTAAGAGATCTATTCCTTGCTATCAGTACCCCAAAGCTCAGCTCCTCAAATGCAGCTAGACTTGGTGAAAACATCTCAAGTCTGTCTTTGTCGATGACCTGGTTTTCACCTAGATGAACTGCTCTTTGATTTGGTATGCTTTGGTTCCTTTTCTTTGGTACATCTACTCATTCCTGCTGCTACTTCTGTTATTTTGCATACCAGGCGTCATTCTGTACAATTTTGGTTATTGTTTTTATTATCATTTCCCTATGATATGTTTGCTCTTTTTCTTTTGACTACCTTCTGCTTTTATTTGTATTGCTATGTACAGATAAAAATGTTTGCCTGTCTTTGGAATGCTGAGAAGGGATAATGGTCACTAACTAGAACCTCAGTCACAAATTACACTGTCCATTTTTGATCTCCAAACTGTTTTCCCCTCCAAGTCTCATTCTCCACAATCTTCAGAAGGATTCACCTACAGTCAGTGGCAGAGCTTCATGCTCTGGCACCGGGGGCATGGCTGGTGCACGTCCCGGGGGTGTGGTGCACTGCCCGTGGGGCATGGCATGCTGCCTGCTGGGGTGTGGCGCCCAGCGTGGGGGGGAGAAGCCACGATGGTACCCCACCGGGATCGTGGTCTTGGGCCGGTGCACTCCCCCTGCCCCACCTCTTTCTCCGCCAGTGCCAACAGTTTGTTGAATGAAATGTCCTCTCAATCAATGTAGAGAACAGGGTAATTTTTGAGATGGTACTTGATGTAGAATGACTCCTAAAGAAAGTCTCGCCAAAAATGACAACAGCACCAGAAAGTCCTTTTCCACCAAGGCAAAGACAGGAGACTACTTCAGAACTCAGTGTGCATGTGTGATGGCCTGGGATTCCGATTCGGAGGATGAAACAGAGGAATCCCAGCCTGCACAGGAGTCCCCACCTCCAGGGCCGGCTGAACTGGGGCAAGGCCTAGATGCTGAAGAGCCTGCACCTGTGGCAGTGCATCAGGAGCTGGCCCCAGGTGAAGCCCTTCTGGCCCCAGAGGGGCTTGATGACTCAGTGGCCACAGGTGAGCCTCCTCCAGGGCCCAGTAACCCTTCGGCCTCTCCTGATCTGCAGAGGCTTAGGGCAGAGAGGCGAAGGGAACTGGTTGCCCCCAGGAGGAGTGCTCGCCTTAAGGCCAGAGGAGGCGGGGCTCCTGGGGGCCGGGACCGCCCCTGGCCTTAGAAGAGGATAAAAGCCCAGTCAGCCCGGCCCCAGGTTGCGGGAGCAACGTCGTTGTTGGCTTCGGACCTTCCTGTGTTCCTGATCCCTGCTCGGCTTCCTGTTCCTGACTATCCGGTACTCCTGTTCCCTGCTCGGCCTCCTGTTCCCGACCATCCGGTGTTCCTGTTACCTGCTCAGCCTTCTGTTCCAGCGTTCCTGTTCCCCGCCCGGCTCTCTGCATCGGACCTCGCCCCTCTTCGTGTGGACTCTGCTACACCCACGGTACCTTACCCCCGGGACCAGCACAGCATGTTGAAGGGATGACAACAGTATCTGGTAAGCTCTAAAGGCCCAGTCTCAGATATAGTCTTAGTTAAAACGAGGGACAATTATTTTGTGATTTTTCTTAAAAGACTCACAACTGCTATAGGAATGCTGTCTGTCTGTCTAATCTAATCTAATCTATTTTGCCCAAGGCAGGCCAAAGGCTTGGTTATAGAGGAATACTTTTGTTTGGTGCCTAAAGATATATTATGATGGCATCAGGCAACTCCCCCCTGTCCTAAGACAGGACAAATAGTATGCCCCTCCCCTTCTAAAGAAATGAGTGGCCATTATTATGCCTACATACTATGCAAGGTCATTTGCTTACAACAGTTATCACACAGTGCATAAAATTAGAGATTTAGCCAAAATGTTAGTGCTCTTAATGAACTTTTTTTTTTAACCTTTATACTAAATATGCAGTTTTCTTGCTTCAAAGCAGCCTTATATTTATGCATTCATCTGGTAGCAATAGGTGAGAAGGAATGAATGCAGGTGAGTGAGTGGGCTGCTGTATGACAGGCAGAGTGCTTCATTCCTCTTCTGCATCCAGTAGAAACCAAAATTCACTCTTCCACAGGCTAAAGCAGGGGTGCAACTCTCTGTATCCTATAGCAAACTAGTAAAGTTTATGATAGGATAATGTTTGTGAACTTATTTGCAAGGCTGCTTTAAAGTTCTGCCCTAGTTTCATTTCAGCAATACAAGAATATTTCAAACCACATTCATGGACATAGAATTTACAGACTTTGTCCTCTTTTGGATGCAATGCCAAAATGTGATTTAGCATTATGTGAACAACTCTGGGTGGGCCGTGGGTTAACACACTCCCCTTTCCCAGCATCCCCCCTCCCCCACACACCCCCTTCCCCTTCTCAAACTGAAGATCAGAAACTTTCACTTCCATTTTCACTAATCCAAACTCTAAACTGTGGTTAATATTACCTATGTGTTGTTAAAATAAGCCATCTTAAAAAAACACAGGTTTGAAGTTGGATTGTTGCAGAACACAATCATTGATGGGACATAACCACCAGTTATGCATTTAGTTAGATTTGGAAGCAAAAGCTTCTAATCAGCTCCTAGCACCTAGACGGTAGCAGGAAATAGATTGGCATGATCCTGAGGCTGGCTCAAGATTGTTCATGTTTATCATTATTAGGGTTGCCATATATCTGGAATTTTCCCTACATATTCGGAATACTGCGGTTGGAAGCAGTGACTGGGTGGAAATTGCAAAAATGTCCAGGAAAATCCCAACATATGGCAACCCATGTCAGCAGTGTCGTTTTGGGCTATTTTCCTTAAAAATGGCTCCAAAACCTTTGGTTGTTGTGAATTTGTCAGAAAACCTCAACAACTTTTCTGTCTGGATTTTCACTGTTTGAAACATGGCAACCCTAGTATTATCTCTGAATGAGGTCATTATGTCAAATTGATCTTGAACATGTTATCCCTGAAGCTAAATTTGTATCAGAATAAAGCAAAATGGAACAGAGAACAATCGAGAAGCTTATGCTTGGGGGGAAGTTACCAAATTCAATGAAATAGAACCAAATGACATCAATATGCTGCTAATGTGTTGTATAAGCAATAAAGCGGTACTCCAACACAATGAGCAATACTGTGCAGTAACTTAATCGCATCACAACAGCAGCAAGGACTACTAACACATTGAGGAATCCGGAAGTAGCCTGTGTACCTGTCACCAAGTACACAAAAACAGTAACAAGTGAGGTAGACGTATATGCGTACAATTGTGTCCATGATATACTTGGTTTCCATAATGCTTTCACCTCTTTTTTTAGGTGAGGTTGGGACTGGTATTCTCGGTACACGTGTATAGCCATATCACACACTACTGTGTGCATGGTGATCAGTGAGTGGGTCTAAAACCCACATTAACATGAACTGTCCCGAACATCTCTCCCCATATGCTTTACTAATGGAACCTTCATTATAGAATTAGAAAAAAAGAATGATCAGAAACTTCTGAAGATGA